CTTCTCTTCCAATATTGCTGCAAGAAAAAAGAAAAAAATATTCTTAAGCAGTTTGTTGTGAGTCTTTAAAGAAGGCAGAAATAATTCAAGGGACCAATATTCTTTCCCCCCTTCTCAGTGTAGGAAGCCCTGTCCCCATTTGTACTGGCCCAAATACTCAGAATTCTTATTTCTTATCCCTTAGAGGCCAAAAGGGTAAGAAGAAAAAAAAAAAAAAAAGAGAGAAACCCAACATCCTCTGTACTTTAGTGCTACTCAGAAGGCACACATCCTTTTGCCAGCAGTGTTTTTGAGTATCGTCTTGGCTGATTTTTGTATTTGACTATAACATTTTTGCAGCATGCTTTGAACACCCCTAACAAAATCAGTCTTCTCTGCCAAACTAGAAACCCCTCCAACCTGTCTCTCAATTGAAAAAGAGCTTAGACAGGAACCAGACGTTCGCTCTGCAGGCACTTCTTCTACACAGACATGAGCACCTAAGGAATTCTGCAATACAAAACATGGATGCTGAATGAATCTACACATACTAAGGATTAGACAGCTACTGAAACACGGACTCTCTTGGAATTACGTTCCACTCAGGCCCATCCGAGTACCAGAAATCAGTTTGAGAACACAGAAGCACAGTTTACAGTGCTTCCAGTATGTGAGAAAATAGCAGATGGATCAATCGCTAAGGTCTCAGCTCGCTTCAAGTCACAGGCATAATGGAAACAATGCCGTGGTTCTTCACTGAGTCAAATCGGTACAACGCAATTGTTCATAATGCACCGCAATAAGTTTGTCAAAGTGCTGACACCACATAACAAGCAAAATTAGATCTTGCTGTCAAATCCAAATGAAGTGGATTGAATTTCCCTTTTTATCTCTAGAGGTGCTAAATGCATCTTCTATACTTGCTGTATGGAATCCCTATCCTCCAGTTCCACCAAAATCTCTCCATGTGCTATTCTCTCACCTATGTATTCTTCAAACCCCATAATGACCAACTCATTTTTTTTTATTTTTTTTGTAAAAGAGAAGGATGGAATGACACGTCAACCACCTTTAATCTATGCAGCCACACTCCTAGTCTTGAAATCTTGTCCCCTCCTGTTTCAGACAGCCCTCCATTCTTTGGCTTTCCTCCTAAGTAATTACTCTTTAACTTGTCTTTCAGGTCATCTTCCTTACTCCTCTCAAATCAAGCTCCCTGGGGGAAGGGGTATAACATCTTTGGCCTTCTCTTTTCTCTATCCTGTTCCTAAGTAACTTTATCCAAAACACAAAATCCAGTTATCTTCTCTATGTTGATGATTTCACACAAGTCAAACACTCTCTCCAATTTACTGCTTCTCTCTACACACAGTCACACCTGTTTGTGTCTGTCTATCTAGCAATGCCTCCTTCTCCAAATTCAAGTACTTTTCACCACAGCTTTTCTTGACAAACTTTGGCAATCTGAACATCCTGCTTAGGTTACAGACCAATGACAAATGCTCAAGTCTTCAAACCTTTCTTGTCCCTACATCCTTGCATGCAATAACTACATCAGCATTTTGCAGGTTTTCTGCAGTCTCTCTCTAAAACGTGTTCTGCTTAGTCCACTTGTATGTCTAAAACTCTAATCCAGGCCCTGAGCCTTTCCTTTTAAGTTGTGTTAGTCTTCTGCTTCAGGTCACCATACGTCCACAGAAACAGTGCTGCTGGCACAACTTAAGGTGAGATGTGGGAGCAGAGAGTAACAGAAGCTATGTAAGCAGCTCTGCTAATGTATATGAAACCACAGTTTATCCACATCCTTTTCATTAACACCTCGATCTGTGTCTGATAGTCTTTGGTCTGGTTCTATGTTTATAACTATTTCCTATCTCATACTTCGTAAATTCTCTAGAGCCAGGATTTTGTATTGTTTGTTTGTACAGTACCTGGAACTGAAATATTTACAGCAATAATTTAGGATCCTTTGCATTGCAGTGATATAAATGTTATCATAGACAAAATCTGTACAGGAATTTACTCATTAACAGGATAACTTCAAGGTTCTCAGATCTTACCAGTTTAATTTGTGCTCTGTCGCTGGACTTTTGGTCCAACGCTCTGAGTTTCTTCTTCTGGATTTGGGCGTTTCCCTGCACTAATGCCAGTACCAAGGGCCGTTCTTCCTGATAATTTAAAACCAGTATTTACATTAAGACTCTATTGCACCTTTATACATTCAGGAAAAGCATTTCGGTTTTTTTGTTGTTCTTTAAATTACCTGCTTGCAATAAGTGTGATTGCTGATTGTCTCCATGAGCATAGTGTAAGATACTACTTGCTTGACAGTAACCTGTTCAGATACAGTAGATATTTATTATAATAAATAAAATTTAGAACTGCAAGCAAGTGTACAATTACGTTCTTTACAACAACAAAAAGGAGCCAATTGATTTATTTTCCACCATCAAGAAAAATCCCGCCAGAAACCATCCTGAACGCAGAAGAGATCTTATGCAAAAAAAAAAAAGCCTCATGGCAGTCTACAGCAGTTAAATATATATGCACTTATGCAGGCACAGTGAACAATATTAAGTGTGTACATATTTATGCATTATGTTTGCAACAAGCAGAATGCTTATATATCCAAACACTTTAATTCTAAGTTGTTATAAATTTTAACATTTGTTCTGCCAAGTCTCCTCATCCTTTTTATTATTCTAGTATAACAATACTAGTGAATCCTTAGCATAAGTAAGGTGTGGGAAGAAAAAAAATGCAAGTAACTTGAAGATGCAAACTATTTTCTGGTTCACGTAAACTATCCACTGGTAACCTTGACACTGAGTGCTCTGCATAAATAGTGCAACTTAGTACAAGCAGTTGCAAGGTTTCTTATTCTGAACAGTTGTGGTGTTCCGGTTATGTTCTGGAGGCTTAAACAAAACACAGATTACAGTCTTTCATGATCAGTAAACACACAACCTCTGTTAAGACTGCAAAAAAAAAGAGTTGTGCTAAATTTGATTGCAACTTTGATCTATCACAAACCACAGCTTAAGTTTCTGTATAAAGTAAGTAACAACAATTTGCCATATTTGCCACGAAAATATTCTCATGTTGTGGACAATATGAGAATATACACACAAAACTCTGGAAATCTATTATATATGGACAGAGTGGTAGATCAGGGAAAGATAACATGCAAATTTTGCTATCAAATACACAAAGTGAACTTCTTTCTTTCAGTGTCTTTCATTTAAAGTAACCTAGGATAATGTTTATTAATTTTTGTTTAGTCACACTTGTGGTCCCTCCCACTCAAAACATATGAATACTGTTCTAGATGAGCATTTTAGAGGTAAATGTGACAAGACAAGCAAGTTCACTCTAAGAAATAATTGTTATGTTTCAAGAACAGAAACAAGGCCAGTTTAAATTGTAGACAGCAGCTGTCACCAAAAATCTATCCATGTTATTTTGATGTTTTGTCTGTTTTTCCATAGTTGCAAGGATTCGGAGATCCTCTACAGACAGGCGCTGCCATAATACCTTGCTGCTGAATTCCACTTGCTCCTATATGGGAGTCTCCCAGGGCACATGGCTGAACAACTGTATGACCATCACCAGTTCCCAGCTGAGCTCCTGGAGAGGCAGGAAAAAGACTTAAACATAACAGAACAGGTCCCAAAGCTCTAATGCCTTTGTCTTTCCAAATTCACACTTGCAAATTCAGATGAAAACACACCTCCTACAAAATGGATACGTTTCTGATGTGAAAAGCGTTAAGTAAATGTATACATTTAAGTATATATGTATACACTTTAAGGAGAAAAAAGTGTACATAATGTTAATTTTTTAAACTAAGCCCTTCCTGTCTTCTAAATCTCAACTTAAAAGAAATAAAAGCTCAAGCACCCAGCTTCAAGGAGTCTAGACTAACTCTTCGGGAGGAACTGTACTGGCTGAGAACAATAAGGTCCATCTTCCTCCACAATCTGCTTCTAACCTTGACTAAAGCCTAAGGAGAAGACAAAGCCAGTAAATTTCCAGTTCTGCTGTATCCTTTTACAATGAGGAGTCCAAGGTGTACATAATATTCAAGATGTTGATGCACCATGGATTTAGACAATGTTAATACTGTTTTTATTTTTTTTCTTAGTAACTAGTTAATGCTAGTCTTTGTATGTTACAATATGAATGTTAATATTCTAAAGTAATTTTCATCAAAACTGTATGATAAATTATATATTAAGTTCTTTCAGATACTGTCCACCATCTTGTTGACATTATCGTAGAATTAAATTCCAGTAAGCAATCTAATGCTAGCATTAGAAAACTTTACAAAATAAACAGTGTTGACTGGAAAATTCACAAATCACTCCTTATTACAAATACCAGGATGCTTGTAGACTTCTAGAAGAAAAGTCACATTCAAATGCTTTTGAAATCAAACCGTTTGATACATGTTTGGTTAAACATGGAGTGGTTAAACATTGGAACAGGCTGCCCAGGGCAGTGGTTGAGTTACCACCCCAGAAGTATTTAAAAGACGGGTAGATGAGGCGCTTAGGGACATGGTTTAGTGGGCATGGTGGTGTTGGGTTGACGGTTGGACTCGATGACCTTAGAGGTCTCTTCCAACCTTAATGATTCTATGATTCTATGTTAATAAGTAATTTTCAGGAAGAAAAAACAGGTTAAAAAAATCCTTACATGTTTGAGAAAAAAAATCTAAAGCTGTTTTCATACAAATACTACCAAACTCAGTGAATAAATTTGAAAACGTTTGTGATTTGCACTGAAAACTATCCTGTGAAAACAGCTCCTTCTTGTTATACATAATGCCCTTGGCATTATAAAAGAAGTTTGTGCGGTTCAGTTCCAATACTTCTACGTATTGAAAGAATTTGACTGACCTCCTGTACTACCACAACCAGAAATGCTTTCTCCTGGTGAATAGCCCATTAAGCCACCATTTCCATTTCCATTTGGATTAGAAGGCACTGTTGCAAGAAGACCTAAGAAACAAAATAGCATAAATAGCCATAAAGAAAGACAGGAAAAAAAAATATTAAGTGTAGCGTGCTTTTTTCCTCATGGTAGCCAACTCTTCACCCTCACCCTGAGTGGTCTACCTTTATAACAGGAGAACACCTCTCCATCTTGCCTACTTCTGGGATCTCGCCAGAGTAGTTGTGAACTAACTAATTTTAGTTCACAATTACTTAACAGGCATTTTCTACATAATATTCTGCATAACATTTCCAATATATATTAGTTACGTGCATTCGCTATGTTGTGTTGAAGTGCAACACATCCTGATTCAATATCCAATATCTGAATACACTGACTGCTTCCACCTCCCTGAGCAATACAAGTGCATGTGATTTACCTCTCGGAACAAAGACGACAGTCTTTCCTAACTAGGAAGGATGCTACCAGAGGTTGCACTGGTCTCTGTTTGAGCTACAGCATTTGCAAATGCAAATACAGTATGGCTGAAGTTATGAACCACGTTAATTTTCTAATCACTGGTATTAAAACCTATCTGTACAAGAGTATTAGAATGCACAGAAGACCCAGTTTAACCAAAAAACTTCCAAAAACCCATGGAAAAAAATTTCCGGGTAAGATTTGGAAAGAGGCACTCCACTCTAGCTCTTTCTTCCCTTTCTTGGTTACATCTAGTATTTTCATTTATTTGGATACACAACACTGGTCACCACACTGAGCTCACACCTGATTACCACTGCTATGGGACAAAATTATTAATTGCTAGAAGGTGAGAGAAGTTTTGAAATAAGTAAAGCCAATAGCCTATAACCATACCCAGTCCTCTGTATCGTGAAAGCTGCTGGTAGATTTGTTTCATCCTCTCAATATTCAGACGGCTCGCCTCTGCATGATTTACCATTGGTTTGGGATAATTAACTCCTATAATACATTTTGCAGCCTTCTGGACGCTCTCTGGGGCATTCCAAGGATCATAGATGTATTTTGCAGGGAAACCTCTAAGTGCTGGCAAATAACGTCTTTAAAAAAAAAAAAGGTCATTTTAAGTATAAAGCCACATGACAGTTTAAGCAACATCCACGAATCGCTGCAATTTCTGGATTGTGAGTTACCTGATATAATCCCCATTTGGGTCAGTTCTTCTGCCAAAACCCACTGGACAGTAGCAGTGAAAAAACTGCTGAAAGAAGGAACTACAGGATAGCCACATCCAGCTTCCAGCATTCACACTCCAATCTGCATCAAGTAAGAGCTCTTCAAAGACCTTAAGAAATTAGAGCAACACGTTAGTCTGAACATGGCACACCTTCGAGACACCTACTTTTTCAGGAATTGTTCTGAGTTTCTGATTTCAGCAGAGGAAACCCAGCTCTTCAACGTAGCAACACTTTCTTACGTGGCAACATTCACAGAATGCTCAGTACGCAACTGCAAATCCTTACCTAAATGCCAAACTCAAGAACGAAAGTGTGATAGCCTGTTTGGCTTTTACCCTGTAACAAAACTTGTAGACACCTCAGAAAGCTACAACCAAAAAGTTACACATTCTTGCATAAACACATCCTTAGAAAATAAATCCTCAAAGGATGGCTGGAGCCTGACTGCTTGCAAGGGGCATTTGTTGATTTCAGAAGAGTTGCTTCATCACATTACAACCAAGTAAGCTTTCCAAACTTCCAGAAAACAGGGAACATACAAAGCACATTTTAAACTCAAATTGTCAGTCTGAATACCTCAACTTGCGCAGCACCTTTCACTATGCGAGGACCACCAAGAGTAGAATTCAAGAGTTTCAGGGTAGCTGTGCTGGTTTTGGCTGGGATGGAGTTAATTTTCTTCATGGTAGCTAGTATGGGGCTACATTTTAGATTTGTGCTGGAAACGGTGTTGATAATCCAGGGATGTTTTCATTACTGCTGAGCAGTGCTTACACAGAGTCAAGGCCTTTTCTGCTTCTCACACCACCCCACCAGCGAGTGGGCTGGGGGTGCACAAGAAGCTGGGAGGGGACACAGCCGGGACAGCTGACCCCAACTGACCAAAGGGATATTCCATACCATATGACATCATGCTCAGCATATAAAGCTGGAGGAAGAAGAAGGAAGGGAGGGGACGTTCGGAGTGATGGTGTTTTGTCTTCCCAAGTAACCATTACATGTGATGGAGCCCTGCTTTCCTGGAGATGGCTGAACACCTGCCTGCCCATGGGAAATAGTGAATGAATTCCTTGTTTTGCTTTGCTTGCGTGCGTGGCTTTTGCTTTACTTATTAAACTGTTTTTATCTCAACCCATGAGTTTTCTCACTTTTACCCTTCCAATTCTCTCCCCCATCCCACTGAGGGGGAGTGAGCGAGCGGCTGTGTGGGGCTTAGTTGCCAGCTGGGGTTAAACCACAACAGTAGCACAAACATTCAGAAGTTGTATTCTTGAAGGCCAATAGTTTATCTAGTAAGTCACAGTTTTAAGGATGCACACTTAAATTCCTGGAGGTATATGAACCACCAAGTATGCTGAAGAATGGTGGGACAGATAACGAATTCTGGTCTGAAGACAAAAAAAGTCTTCTCTGGTAATTGCTACCCCTACTATATTAAAAATAATCCATGAGGAAGTTGAAGATTTATGAGGGTCTTACTTTAAATCTGGAGCTCAATAGTTGTGAAACATTCAAGTTTCCAGCATTGTTTTTTAATTATTAACACAGACAATACTAACTTGTATAAAAAGAAGTTTCTCTGCTCAGTCAGAACACTAGCAATACAGGCTAACAAGAAATAAAGAGAAGCCTTATTCTTTGAAGGAGAACATTCAAGTACCTTTTATAAAAAGAGTGCACTGAGAAGTAGTTTTCAAAACAGATACTTATTTAATACATTTTTTTGCAAGTTCTGGTTTTCCTTTCAAAATTGCATTGTCTCCATATGTTCCAAATAAGCCATCATCTTTCTTCACGCTAAGACACTAAAACATAACATCTTACTACTGCCACTCAACTTCAACTAATATTATTCCAATATAAAGTCTAATAAGGTAATACCATTAAACAAGGCTCTCCCTCTCTACATATATTCAAGGCATTCATTCTACAGTATACACTGAATAAGTGTTACAAAAGTATCTTTGTCTAAATATCTGCGACTATTTGTAAAAAAAAAGTGTGCTTTGAAAAAATAAGATTTATCTTAACACATTTTAAAAAACATTTTAAATAGAAAGTGACTAATAATGTAACAAGATCTTTAGATGAACATTAAGTGTTAGCACACAACTGTTCCACTAGATGCTGCAATGTAATAAGACTTTGGAAGTAACATTGCCACAGAAGGCAGATTAACTTTTGCTAGCTATGGACTTAGGAATTAAACATCCTTCCACTGCACAAGTCTGGGCCCTCCATATATCTGTATTATTTCAAAAATAAGAACAAGTTGGCATTTATCTGTAATATATAGCTTTGTCATTTGTCTGAGTTACCTACATATGTGCATCTTCAATGTCTTTATCTATGAACTGCAAAAGGAAAATTCCTAAAGCAGCTTATGTTGTTGTGTAACCAAGATAATTTTTTTTTTTTAAATGAAAGGTGTTTCCTAACAACTGATTTGTTAAGAAAGGTGAAATTTCATACATATGAAATACATATGATTATATACATATATGAGGTCACAATCCTGATGGCAAGTTAATTCTTTTTTAGATTTCAAAAATAAAAAACTATTTTTAATTAATTATCATTGCTCAGTAAGAGATGTGCTACCCTTCTAAAAAATGTAAAACCGATTCAAAGGCTGAGATTAAATTATTCCATTCTTTTCTTCAGAAGACTGACATTTTTCATTTGAACTTCAGCATCTCTTGAATACATGCATAGAAATTAATTGCACTGAAACTTCAGCCAAACCATGTTGCCCATACTCACACTTCTAACATTGGGTGAAGGGAGAGAAATTGCTGAAAGGACATTCTCAGCTTTTAGTTTTCTCCCTTTAATTCCCGTGGTGCTTCCCCTTCGCAAAGAAGCAGACACGAGATGTGAACAGAAACTGTTCACACAGTATGACTGGAAAGAAATTTCAATTACAAGAGTAATCCATGTTTATTTGCCAAGATTTAGGAAGAAATCTCAAATTTAAAAGAAATGCAGACCTATTCTGACTGCAAGAAACGCTCTGATTTTCCAATAAAAGGGGGCATTCAACAGGCAAAACTTCAGCACCACTGGTTTAATCAGAACCGATTTAATTTTGGCCACAGTTTAAGGTTTAAAATTCAACTTACACTGCACAGTAACAACAATTCTAGAATGACTATCTGAAACTTTAACAGGCACTTTAAGAAATTCAAGAATAAGAAACAGTACCTTCATTCCTTCTTCCCAGCTAATCCAGAGGTCACCTCGAGTCAAAAAGCATGCTACAGCATGCCGGGCTAAATGGTGAATCCAACCTTCTTGACGAAGCTGGGTCATAATTGCATCAATCCAAGGAAAACCTGTCCTGCCTTCTGCCCACTTGGCCAAAGCCTCGGGATTCTTATCCCATGGAATTTGAACACAGATAGGATTCCCCTCCATTTTATCAAACCGTGGATTGTTAGTTGCCGCTGTGTAGAAAAATTCACGCCATAACAGCTGGCCATAGAGGGAGAGGGGAGGGGAGCTGTTCTTTTTTACCTGAAGATCATCATTAAAGGAAAACATTTTATTAGGAGAAGTAGGGAAAAATCATGGCATCCAAGAATGTGTAGATGACTATGTAGAAATCATACCTTTTTGTACAGATCTGTTAACTTGAAATAAAAGAGACGACAGGACAAACAGCCAAAGCGGAGGTAGGGACTAAGCCCTGTAGGGCTTGCCAGAAGGGAATTTGCATTCATTCGTGGTCTTTCAAAGTTTGCTACCCAAGCCTTAAAAAAAAACAAAACAAAACAAAAACCACACAGCAATTATCAGACTACAGACTAGGTAGCAACATGTAAACATAAAGGGAGAAGTCATGCACTATCTATAACTGAATCCAGACACACTGGACAGATGATCACATTACCTATGATAGCTAGGGGTTCCTCTTGAATCAGCGGAATCTCTAGAAGATAATTCATCTCAATACAGAAGGCATGAACTGTCTTCCAGAACTACCTATCCCTTTCTTTTAAATACAGAGGAAACCTAGACAGCTAGCAATACGTTAGCTTTTAGAGGAATTCCCCTTCAAAATTATAAGTATGTTTCAAGTAAAATTACCTCCAAAGAAAAAACAATTAAATTTTTTTGAGTAGAAAACAGTATAACAGACTTTCTCTAAAATTCAAATTAGAAGACAACCTGCTATCATCTTTTAAAACTAAGAAACAGCAACTTGACTTAAATCATTATATCAAGGCCTTGAGTTCAAGTTTGTGGGTTTGGATTTTTTTAAAAACGACTTGCCCAATTCCTTTTATATTCCATTGCAAAGAGCAACTATGTTTCCCAGAAACGTCATATTTGCAATGGTTTGAGACATACCTTTCGTTCTAAATGTCTTTCCAATCGTGTGAGAGCTTCTGTTTCTCCTCCTGGCCATACTGCAGAAGGCAGACCATCTGTGTCAAAACCTGAAAAAGAAACAGAAACAAGGACATTCCTTGTTTGCTTATACTGTAGGGCCACAAAATTGACTGTATTGATACTTCACTAAATTTTATTGTATCTTGAGAATAACTCTAAATTGGACACATGGCAAAGTTCAAGTTTTAAAACAGTATGCACAGTCTTATCAAAGCACACTCAATACCTCTAGCTTGCAGCAAAATCCAATTTTTACTTTTACATTAATTTACATTACAAGTTGTACATGCTGAATGGTCTTGCTTCAATTCCATTTCTTCTGTTTTTTTTGCACAAAGTGACCTTTCTATCATTTTCCAAATTATTTTCAAGTTCTCAGCTCTGCCGTATGTGGGCTATCCCAAAACCACAACTTTTTTTTTGTAATTACTACTAAGAAGCAACAATTGCTATTGTAATTTACAAAATGTGTAAAAACTTTTTCCATCAAGTTAAAAGCATGAGTGCTATCTTCAGAACATTCCTAGGTTTCATTGACCTTGACTTAAATAACAGATGGGGATTATTGTCAATTAGATGATAAACACATACTTTAGCTGCAAAAGAAAGATGAAGGTAACAAGATTCTTCCACACCCCCAACACTTCCCCCAAGATTGTTTACCAGGTGCATAAGATAATGTCTGCCTATAGTTTAACCACTGTATAGTGAGATCTTCCCTTCTTACAAAGGCTTTAAAAGCAAGGTCTGTTGTATGAGAGTTCAAACAGACTAGATAGAGCAGCCAGAGCTTAGCCAGAATCTATCCAGACCCTTTTGTTAGCAATTTGGAGGTCATACCACATTTGCTTGTATTCCGGGGTGGGGGTGGGGACACGATGACAGGAAAGAGGGGGGATTCACAGGACAATAGCTTGATACTATTTCTTAAAATCAAATTTACAGAAACGTAAGATTTTTTTTTAAGAAGCTTCTAAAATAATTATTTGCCTTATTATTATCTTTTTTTGGTATTGCAAGACAAGAGGGTTTTTTTAACTAACTTGTAAAATGACAGATTAATGACCTGAAGCACAAAGATACCAAATGCATTTAATATAAAACGAAGTATCAAAGACTATTAGTAGCTTAATGATTATTTGGTACCATGGGAAAACGGCTATGCTATATTACAAGAAGCCAAACAGTACTTACTGTAGTTTGATCTGACCTCCCATTTAAAAGAAAACAACTAAAATTTACATACTTTATTATCCTTTTTTATTCCTTTTGTACGTCATAATTGTCATCAGTTTAACAATTAACCATAAGTAGAACCTCTCTCATGGTTATTATAAGTATTATGCTTTTAGTGGTAGATTACATCCTACTTGTTTCACAATGTCAAAGCAATCTTAGAACATACCTAGCTCTTCAAGTGATGGAACACCGTATTTCTCATCATGGTCATCAGAAACTGGAGTAGTACATTTTTCCATTACTTCTGGGGTTATAGTCTCCACTGGCATCTCCAGTGGTTCCATTCTACTAATTAGGGTCTGGAATCGTTTGTAAGTAAGAGGAGGCTGTCCTCCATTTAATTCTATTATTCTGGATTGAAAAAAAAAGAAAAAAGAAAAGAAGTATGTCAGAAAATAGTATATAACAATTTTTTTTTTAAATAAAATATACACACACAGAAAATATCTTCTTACCCGCCTCTAGCATGTTATATAAAATCACAGATATACATGGTAATCCAGACAGTTTGAACTTTAATTTTACCATTCTTTTTTGCCCATTAGGGAGACATATACATTAACTGTTTATAACCGAGTCAATTATTCTTCATTTCTGGGTTGAGGAAAGTCCCTCAAGAACAAATAAGTAATGAATATGGACGGCTCAAGGCAAAGAAAAATACAGATCAGCAAAGCAGATGAGAGACCATAGCTACAGAAACATACATCCAAGTCACCTACAAGACTATGCTATTTGCATAAAAAAAACCCCTATTTTTCTATTCTGATATTGAGAACAGTAGTCAATATTACAGCTGTCTTAATATGGGGCAAAATTAAGGTGTGGTTTATACACAATGACTGTTGTAAAAACACACAGTTTCTATATTTTGCATTGTCACCTTAAATATATCTAAAATTTCGGAAACAGGAAAGCTTCAAAGAAATAATTTACAAAGTGGTAGATGGAATGAACTGTTCATTTCGGGGGGTGCTTGGGCGGGAACAGAAGAAACAGAATTTTCCATTTAGGATTAAAAAAAATCAGGTATTGGTTTCAAAACAGTAAATAATTCCCTTTCCTCCCATATGTTTAGCTGCCTCTCATACATTGGCTTGTAACAGAGTAAAACGGGCATCTACCACAATAAATTACTCAATGTTAAGAGAAGCCAAGTCATACTTTTGAATAGTGTGCGGATTATGTTTCTATAATAGGGAGCTAATACTAATCCATTTAAATAGATCTGTGGAAAAATATAAACAAGACATTAAGTAAGGCAACGCAGGGATATCAAACAATCCCCAATTACTTACTGGATACATAACTGAGAGGAAACAGTTCTTGAAAAATAAAGGAGACTGCTAACTTGAGTACAGCAAGTGAAATAAGGACAAAACAATCTAACAAAACAATGAAACAACAACAGATCTTAACTGGGAGAAGTTGCAGGCATGTTTGAGTAACCTCATTATAACAGACAGATAATTAACATGACCGTTATTTTCAGAAGAACCCCAAATCAAAACTGTATTTCAGATACGGTTATGTACCATTTTTTGGAGTTGCAAAGTTCTACTCAGTATGTAATAAAATTTGAATGGATGGATAAGAGAGAAACATGGAACAAATTTGTAGTCTTCCTAACTATAAAACTTTCTGCGTAGAAAGTAGCACACGATATCTAACCAAATACTACGTAAAATTTATACTTTTTTTCTTTTTAAAATCAGAGGTAATGTAACTTACTTGTCTAGGTCATATAATGTATGGGAAATTCGAACAATGACCTCCACTCCAGCTTCACTAGCCAGCTTCTTAATTGCTGCATCTCGTTCCTTCCCAAATGGTTCAGAATCATATTCAATAGAAAGTTTAGCAATATTCCATTCCTGCAACACAAAACAAAAATGTGGTCCTTCAGCAACTCGGCTGCTTGACGGAAAGTGAGGGAAAGGAGAACGGGAAGGACAGGGACAAGATGGAACACCAGCTATTACCTGCTGATAGTTGTCAGAGATACACAAAGGCCCAAAATACATTTAGAGACCCAGACTCACAAAAATAAAGTCCATCGTTTTGGCATCTAAATAGGAATCAGGCATAAAAAAAGCCTCTATCTGTTCCATTACTGTGGGTGCACACAGTAATGGGACAACTTCCGTGCAAATGTTGAAAACTCAGCTCTAACTTTAGGATCCATATACCTTCAGAGACACAACAGAAGGGAAAGATGGCAGAGGCTGTCTTCTGGACAACCAAACACTACATACTTTCCTTCCCTTTTCCAAATCCCTACCCCTCACCCACCAGAATGGACAATCTTCAAATTCTCAGTTTAAAAAAAAAAACAACAAAAAACCCCTGCCTCCTAAAAAGAGGACACCTTCAAGTCTAATACCCTTTATGTCACAGATGCTGTTACCAAGGCCAACAGTAACAGGTGGGGGAAAAGAAGCAAAGGCAGGCATCAACTAATGGCTAAGGCTTCTGCAACAGTAGGAAATTGGAAAGGTGAAGTATGCACAGAATGATCCTAGAAAGCCATCCTGCCATCAAACTCAGAGAAATACCCTTCTAACCCCTCAGAATATTAATCATTTGATTTAAATACACCAGCCAGACTATTTCAGAGTACTGGATTTACCCCAAAGAGACAAGGGGCACCCTACGCTGTTCACTTAGAGTTTCACTTCTGAACTCTAGCTCTCTCCTAGATGAAGCCCAGGTAGAACCCTGAGGGCAGGCGATTCCAAGGAGTGCTTGCTCTTTGAAAGAAGGCTTGGCTCCTTCCATCATTAAGTCTGTCAAGACTGACCCAGCAGGCCCTTAATCCTCAAGCAACCTCCTACACCCTCATACAACATTTATTTCACATTTCATAATGTAAAATCACCGCCTGACAAGTCGCAGCAGATACTTTTCCAAATCTTCTTTCCTTTGGCATATTGAAAAGAAAATCATAAAAAACGTTGTCCAAGAGCCAGAGCCACGTCCCCAAGGGAGCCAAGGAACTCTAAGACAAGTGCTACGTGATGTGAATACACCCAGATCACATCAGCATGAGCTAGGCACTTAGAAGAAGTATGGACACAAATCACTTTGCACATACTGCTGGATGCTTGTAGCAACACTGATGCATTTAAAGAATTAGAGATTGTTCCAATTCTATTTTCTTTATCAAGCCAGTCCCAAAGAACTAGAGATACAGAGCAGACCATGACAAATTGAACCAACCAAAACTTGACTGGTTCAAGTTAACCAACAGGCGCCAAGTGGGTGCCTGCTACTACTACTTACATCTCTGCAGTCAGTTGGAACCACCACCCTCAAGTTACTTAAAAAAATCAACCAAACAAAAACCAAACAAAAAACCCCAAACAAACAGAAAACCTAAATGAATTTTGCAGAGGCCTGCAAAGTCCACTGGTAAAAATATTCTGTCTCTATGCACTACTCCAGAGGATGACAGCCTACTGCTGGTATCAGCAGCACTGTTAGCTAGTAGTGCTGAAAAAAATGTGACACCGAATTCAGCGTCTTAAGGGAAGCAAAGCTGCTCTGAAGGACTGGAAAGAGGAAAGCAAACAGTCATATATATATACACACACACAAGAATGAAAGAGCCTAAAGGTCCTTGAAGCCTTTTGCAAGGATAAAGATTGATCAGTGCTCTGCCTTTTGAAGGAATTGTCCTTCAGCCTGTGAAAAGGAAAGCCCTACCAATAAACAGCTGTGAAACATTCATCCCCAGGAAATCCACAGATGCTGGAATCTGTGATGGGGCTCCCAACACAAGGCTCTACAGAAGTTCCACTATCTCCTACCATTACTTACTTGAAGTTATCTTCTCCCAGCCAAAAAACATCTACGTGTGTTCTTCAGGGTCAGGATCATCGCTCACCTTTGAGACTGATAAGGATGATCTGAAAAGCTTGGTTCAGTGTTATATGCCCTTTACTGCACTGCAAGTGCCTCATGTACAGCTACTGCTCCGGCAAAAGAGGCTGAGAGATTAATGATATGAGATAGATGCATGTTCCAGGTAGTCTTCAGCCAAAAGTTGAAGAAGTCCTCAAGAGCTTCAACAATGCCTCTTACTTGTTTGAGGACAGAGGATGTCCTGAAAAGCTCCTCAGTGAACAAATACACAATAAAAAGACACTTTTTGGTAATTTGAGGAACCAGAAGACATAGACAGGTGTGAATGTTCTTTTTTGATTGCTGTACACTATCTATATGACAAGTTATTTTCATTACCGTCTCAGCACTAAAATTAATATTCTGAAAATGTAGCACACCAATGCTGTTAGGCATAGAAAGATCAGCCTACTAGGAAGATCTGAAACAGGAGTTGTCAAAGTAGCCACTAAAGTATTTAAGAAAACTTATCACAGGTCACTCAAATCCAGAAGGCAACACACACAACAGCAAGATCTTTGCCCCTATGTAAATGGAATCAAACCAAATTTGGCAGGCAGATATAAAAAGCTTGAATATCTGGGGGGTTGCAAGCAGCAACTAATGCCACAGTACTCCTGCAGGAAATTCTTCACTGAGGGGAAAAAATCAAGAAAAGACCAGTCAGAGTATCATCCAGTTAGCATTTCACAACTAAAGCACAAGACTGAAGACAGAAATGTGAGTTTTGGTTGAGTTTTTAGCTTGGTGTTGAAGACTTGGGAATAAAAATCTTGAACAGATGATCTCTTTGGAAAAACAGATATTTATTGTCCCTACACAGTCTTGCTTATCTGTCACCTCAATCCAGTCATTCCGTAAGAACTTTTCAAATCAATCTGCAAAGTGTTCAGTGTTACTATCCCATTATAGTATTGTTACCTGAAATACACTATTATCCATGGAAGACAGATTAGTATCAGTAACAATCCCTCACAGCCTTAATTTGCTCAATAATAAGACCCTTCCCCACAAAAGCCTTAAACTTCTTTGACTAGAAATTGCTTTTTACCTGCACTATGCTTTTACCAAGCCTACTACCAGCAAAAAGCTTATTAAATCATTTTTAATGGCCAAAAAGCAACCACAGCAGATATTTGGCCTAAATACAATATCGCTTTTACAGGTCAGGCTTTGAACCTGGATTCATGTGCACAGAATTATATTTCAGTATTTCAAAGGGAACCTGGAAAGGAAAATTTAGTAATATTACAGTACCTAAACTTAGCAAACCATTAGAAATCAGTTCCATTTCTGGAAAGAAAGAAACGAAATACTGCAAAGTCTAAGAGCAACTCAGTTCAGTTGGTGATATGCATATCAGAGGGGAAAAACCCAAATCTAACAAAAACAAACTTAAAGAGAAACTGCAAGGATTGTTAAGTATTTGCATGGATAACAACTTGCACTGAAGTATATGGTACAAGAAATATTCCTAGTTGAAATTAGTTTGTCAGTCATATTTATGGATCGAAACAACAACTGCAAGGTGGCATTTACCTTAAAAAGTCTGGGGAAAACATCTGCTGGCTGTCCACGAATAACAAACAAACGTGAATTCAGTTTCCGTAGATTGGCATCAAGATCCTCAAGACATTGAAGCAGGAATCTGGAAGAAATTGTAAAGAAACATTTATTTTCTGAGGCAAACCAAACAATTTTACAATAGAAAGGGAACTAAGGGGAACAATCCAAGAAAGATTATCAGACCTTCAGTATTTGGTGCGTATTTTGGTGATGCATACACGTTCACACCCTAATTACACTTAGCTTACAGTAGTTCAATACCATGTAATATATTCAACAATACATAATTCAGAAAAACAAACAGCACTGTTAAGTTTTCACCTCAACATGATTCAACTCTGGAATGGACTAAAACGTACTCAAGTCTTAACTAAAACTAGAAATATTTTGTCACTCTAAAGAAAAAAGCACACCACAGAAAAAAACACCAACAAACAAACAATCAGCTGTTGGCATACGGCTACTAAACTTAAACCAAGTCCTTCTTACAACACAGCAGCCTGAACTGTTACTAAAAACAGCATACCAGAGGACTACATGGTCATAACTATCCCTTTGGCCTTCATTTATAAAAATAGCCCTCTATATAACAAACAGTTTCATGAATCTTGGCTGTAACCTCACCTGAATTATTTAATGAGCAAATAAGGGGGGGAGGGGGGGGTGGC